TGAACAATGGGAGCTTTTATTACCCAGCAAAGAGCTCACTCACTTGACCGGAGCAGCGGCTTAGCAGTGGAAGGACGGCCCCTCCCTTGGGGCTGCCCTAAGCCTCTCTATCTGGGAGCCCCGAGGGACCTGTGGCCCTGAGGTGACAACTGGCTTTTAATTGACTGTCACCTGGCAAATGGTTATTGCTTTGTATGAGATCTTTAGCTGGGAGAGAAGAGGAAAGAATTTTTATGAGCAGTTCACCGGTATAAAAAGTGGGGAAGGGGCTGGGGGCGGTGGCTCACACCTGTAATCCCAGCTCTCCACTTGAGCCCCGGAGTTTAAGACCAGTCTTGGCAACATGCTGAAACCCTATGTCTATAAAAAATACAAAAATTGGGCCAGGTGTGGTGGCTCACACCTGTAATCCCAGCACTTTGGGAGGTCGAGGCGGGTGGATCACGAGGTCAGGAGATTGAGACCATCCTGGCTAACAGAGTGAAACCCCATCTCTACTAAAAATACAAAAAATTAGCCGCGTGCCTGTAGCCCCAGCAACTCGGGAGGCTGAGGCAGGAGAATGGTGTGAACCCGGGAGGCGGAGCTTGCAGTGAGCCAAGTTCGCACCACTGCACTCCAGCCTGGGCGACAGTGTGAGACTCCATCTCAAAAACAAAACAAAACAAAACAAAACAAAAATACAAAAATTAGATGGGTGTAGGGGCACACACCTGTGATCCCAGCTACAACATGCTGAAACCCTGTCTATAAAAAATCCAGGCCGGGCGCGGTGGCTCACGCCTCTAATCCCAGCACTTTGGGAGGATGAGACGGCAGGATCACAAGGTCAGGAGATCGAGACCATCCTGGCTAATATGGTGAAACCCCGTCTCTACTAAAAATACAAAAAATTAGCCGGGTGCAGTGGCGGGCGCCTGTAGTCCCAACTACACGGGAGGCTGAGGCAGGAGAATGGCGTGAACCTGGGAGGCGGAGCTTGCAGTGAGCCAAGATTTCGCCACTGCACTCCAGCCTGGGCAACAGAGCAAGACTCCGTCTCAAAAAAAAAAAAAAAATCCAAAAATTAGCCTGGTATAGGGGCGCCCACCTGTAGTCCCAGCTACCCCGGACGCTGAGGTGGGAGGATCATCTGCGCCCTGGGAGGTTGAGGCTGCAGTGAGCCAAGATTGTACTGCACTGCAACCTGGGCGAAAAAAGTGAGACCCTGTCTACAAGAAAAAAGGAAAAGCTCAGAGGAGGGAACGAATCTTGTTTGAGCCCCAGCGATCAAGGCATTGCTAGGCATTTTCCACCCGGGATCCCCAGAGCCTGGAACAGTGCCTGGCATGCTGGACGTGCTCCGTTTATAGTTTGCAAATGAATGAACCCAGTTAAGCAGGTCTCTTATCCTCATCTGACACTGGGAAACAGACTCCCAGGGGTCCCATCCCTCGCTGAAGCTTACGTGGCCGCGTTTGTGTTATCTGCTGCCGCGTAACAAAGCAGCTCACTTAGCAGCAGTCATTACCCATGGACTTGCACTTGGGCAGGTCTTGGTGGAGACACTCCACGGGGCCTCGGCTGGGTTCGCTCCACTTCTGACGGGAGGATCCACTCAGGATGGTGCACGAGGCTGGCAGGCAGGTGGGCTCAGGGTTGGGCAGAGGCGTGGCCATGGTTCTGTGGGCCTGGGTCCCCTCCACGTGGGCCCCTCTAGGAGCTGCTGGGTTTCCCCACAGCATGACGCCTGGGTCCACGGCACAGGTGTCCTGGGGAACCAAGAGGAAGCTGCATCACTGTTTGGGATCCAGCCTCTACCGTGGTCAGAAGTGCCCACCCAGATTCAAGGAGTCAACTAGAGAAAACTTTTGCTTTTGAAGAATTAAAGTTAGTTTTATTCAGATTCCTACTGAGCACTGCAATCCGGGAGGGTGTTTCAGAGTTTCCGTCCGACTGCTCCAAAGCAATGTTTCGGGCCACAGCTTATCAATCAACAGGTGGTGGAGGCTCTGCACCCGCTCAGGGGTACCTTAGAGCCAAATCCCATCGTCAAGGTTTCAATGCAAGAGTCCATCTGGTCATAGATTATAGCCACTGATCCTGTCAGACGGTATGTTATGTACAAGAGGTGGCAAGGGCTAGGATCGTTGACCTTTTAAAAAAATGCAGTGATTGGCCGGGCGCGGTGGCTCAAGCCTGTAATCCCAGCACTTTGGGAGGCCGAGACGGGCGGATCACGAGGTCAGGAGATCGAGACCATCCTGGCGAGCACGGTGAAACCCCGTCTCTACTAAAAATACAAAAAACCCCGTCTCTACTAAAAATACAAAAAACTAGCCGGGCGAGGTGGCGGGCGCCTGTAGTCCCAGCTACTCCGGAGGCTGAGGCAGGAGAATGGCGTAAAACCCAGGAGGCGGAGCTTGCAGTGAGCTGAGATCCGGCCACTGCACTCCAGCCTGGGCGACAGAGCCAGACTCCGTCTCAAAAAAAAAAAAAAAAAAAAAAATGCAGTGATTTGGCCGGGTGTAGTGGCTCACGCCTATAATCCCAGCACTTTGGGAGGCCAAGGTGGGCGGATCACCAGAGGTCAGGAGTTCAAGACCAGCCTGGCCAACATAGTGAAACCCTGTCTCTACTGAAAATACACAAATTAGCCAGGCATGGTGGTGGGTGCCTGTAATCCCAGCTACTCAGGAGGCTGAGGCAGGAGAATCGTTTGAACCCGGGAGGCGGAGGTTGCAGTGAACCGAGATGGCGCCACTGCGCTCCAGCCTGGGCGACAAAGAGGGAAACTCCATCTCAAAAAAAAAAAAAAAAAAAAAAAAACAGGGACTCAAGCAAGAGCTGTGGGAACCTGCACTGTGCCTGCTCAGTCTCGGGGGCATTCTTCGGGGGGCCACCTAGTCACTGAGGCAGGGCGCACACTTCTTTCCGCACAGTTGCAAAGATGCCTTAAACTAAATTTCTGGAAACTGGGTTGCCGAGCCAAGGGACTGTTCCTTTTCGATGTGTGCTGGATCTCCTGTGCGCTGCAAAAGCCTTGGGTGAATGCCACAGGCCAAATGAGCAAACACAGCTTCTGGCCTCTGCTACTTTGTGTCACAAAGAGGGAAGACCACAAACCCTCCTGTGGAGGGAGAAGCGCAGTGTTACATTTACACAAAGACAATGTGGTTGGGAGAATCTGTGCAGCCATCTCTGGCAGCTGCCATCTGCCACAGCCGACAGGTGCGGGGCTGAGTTTGGAACCAGGTCTGTCTGACTCCAGCCCCTCCAGGGGAGCCCACCTACCCACCCACCCCACCCACCCTGCCTCTGATGTCAGGGCCAGGCAGGACCTGAGCCAGCCAGAGCGCTGCATTCCTCCTGGTCATAGGGATGGCACAGGGCTGAGTATCTGACCGGCAGGGTTGGATCAATCAGGCCTGATCCGAACAGTCCCAGGCTCCGCTTGGGCAGCCAGGCTGCAGTCGGCACACGTTTCTGCAGGGCGCTGGAGGTCCGCCGGCCATCAGACAGCAACAATCCCTTGGCTCAGCCACCTGGTTTCCAGGAATTTATTTTAAGATATCCGTGCAACTGTGCCCATCCTTGCAGGTACGGACACATATTTTTAGCAGGATGTTCTGTGACAGCCTAAGATTGAAAACAATGTAAATATGTGCACCCAGCCATGCCCCCCAGAGCAAGCAACACGTATAGGCAGCAGTTAGAGTATTGTCAATTCCCCAATAATGAGTGTTTTTTTTTTTTGAGACGGAGTCTCGCTCTGTTGCCTGGGCTGGAGTGCAGTGGCCGGATCTTAGCTCACTGCAAGCTCCGCCTCCCGGGTTCACGCCATTCTCCTGCCTCAGCCTCCCGAGTAGCTGGGACTACAGGCTCCCACCACCACGCCTGGCTAATTTTTTGTATTTTTAGTAGAGACGGGGTTTCACCCTGTTAACCAGGATGGTCTCCATCTCCTGACCTCGTGATCCACCTGCCTTGGCCTCCCAAAGCGCTGGGATTACAGGCATGAGCCACTGCACCCAGCCATAATGAGTTATTTTTAAAACAGGGCCAGGCACCGTGGCTCACGTCTGTAATCCCAACACTTTGGGAGGCCGAGGCAGGTGGATCACTTGAGGTCAGGAGCTCGAGACAAGCGTGGCCAACATGGCGAAACCCCGTCTCTACGAAAAATACAAAAATTAGCTGGGCGTGGTTGCATATGCCTGTAATCCCAGCTACCCGGGAGGCTGAGGCAGGATGATCACTTGAACACGGGAGATGGGGGTTGCAGTGAGCCGAGATTGCACCACTATACTCTAGCCTGGAAGACAAGAGCGAGACTCCATCTCAAAAGAAAAAGAGGCTGGCCCAGCGTTGGCTCACTTCAGTAATCCCAGCGCTTCTGGAGGCTGCCACAGTAGGATTGCTTGAGCCCAGGAGGAGTTCAAGACCAGCCTCTAGACGCCCTCTCTAAAAGAAACTTACAAAATTCCCAGCACTTTGGAAGTCTGAGGCGGGAGGATCACGAGGTCAAGAGATCAAGACCGTCCTGGCCAACACGGTGAAACCCCATCTCTACTAAAGATACAAAAATTAGCTGGGTGTGGTGGCAGGCGCCTGTAATCCCAGCTACTCGGGAGGCTGAGGCAGGAAAATCGCTTGAACCGGGGAGGTGGAGGTTGCAGTGAGCCGAGATTGTGCCATGGCACTCCAGCCTGGCGACAGAGTGAGATTCCGTCTCAAAACAACAACAACAACAAAAAAAACCCCAAAACTTAAAAAATTAGGCCAGATGCAGTGGATTACACCTGCAATCCCAACGCTTTGGGAGGTCAGGGCAGGAGGATTGCTTGAACCCAGGAGTTTGAGACCAGCCTGAGTACCACAGTGGGATCCCCATCTCTACCAAAATAAATGAATAAATAAATAAATAAAGTTAGCTGGGCTTGGTGGTGTGGGCCTGTAGTCCCAGCTATTTGGGAGGCTAAGGTGGGAGGATGGCTTGAGCCCAGGAGGTGGAGGTTGCAGTGAGCCTGTACTCAGCACTGTATAGCAGCCTGGGCAACAGAGCGAGACCCTGTCTCAAAAACAAAACACAAAAAACCAAAAGTGTTCCCTGAATTAATTAAGTAAGCTTTGCTAGGCAGGTAGGACCCCCAGCCTACCCAGTAGTGGCCCTGGTATAAGGCACTCCCTCCCCACTGCAGCCGCCCAGCCCTGGCCCCGAGGCTGTACAGCGGGATAAAGGTAGTGAGCTCCCCACCACAGGAGGCGTGCAACTGTGGCTGGGGCTTTCCCTCCCAGCCAATCAAAGGGGCCAACTCTGGGAGGGGTGAGGGGTGAGGGCCTCAGGCTGCCAGCCAATCACGGGGGACTAAACCCAGGAGGGGTGAGGGCCTCAGGCTCTGTGGTTTGTACAGGGCATGGGCAACGCCCCAGAGACAGGCCGTGGGGAGGGTCCCGCCCCACTGGCGCCGGCTCCAGCTGCCTCATGTCAGGGCAGGCTGTGCAAAGCAGGCCCCACCGCTTCTGCTGCCAGCAGCCCTCCCGCCCCTCGCAGCGGTTTAGGAGACAGATGGACAGGGCTCGTAAACCCCACCACCGACCACCCGGCAGCCCTTCCATGTTGCCGTCCTAGCTCAGACAGTTGCATCCCCTGCCTGGGCGGCAGCCCTCAAAAAGGAGCAGGCTGCTACCCGGGGTGAACACCCTCCGGAAACGTGTCGGGAGATGCGGGTGGCGGCTTGTGAGGGCTGTGGGATTTGAGGCCCCTCACGGGCTGTCCTGAGGTCTCACTCCTGTCCCTTGCCCGGTGGGGAACTGATCAGAGAAGAGCTGGGTGCACACGGATGGGGTTTGGGAGAGGCCTGCAAACCCCGAGCTCCGCAGGGTCCCACTCAGAACCTGTGAAAGGCAGGGAGCTCCCCTCCAAGCCAGGGCCTCGGCCCCAAAGCCCTGTGAATTCCAGTTCTGAGGGGTGGCCAAGGCCAAGGGGCCTGGACTGGTGGGTTCAGCGGAACAGTCCACAGGCCGCATCCTTCTCTCTGGACAGGGGACATGGATGCCTGACCCCAGAGGGCCCCGTCCTGCCCTCCCCTACCCGGCCCCACCAGGGCCTCAGCCCCACATTCCACGCAGGCCTGCAGCTTTAAGCCGCCTGCTGGGGGCTGCCCTGCAAACTGCTCGTTCCACATTCTAGGGGTGGTGGGGTGGGTGGGGTGCGGGCACGCCCTCCCGGGGAGGCCTATAAGGGCGCGGGGGGGACGGGGCCCAGGAGGGGAGCGGGGCCTCACCAGCCACGTCCTCATGGCCCTGCTGCTCTTGCTGCTCCTGGGCCTGCTGGGGCTCTGGGGGCTGCTCCGTGCCTACGCCCGAGACACCTCCCCAGCCCACCGGTGGCCCCCAGGGCCTCGCCCGCTGCCGCTCATCGGGAACCTGCACTTGCTGCGTCTGTCACAACAGGACCGGTCCCTGATGGAGGTAGGTCAGGGAGCCTGGGCAGCTCTCACGGCCCAGACAGCTGCTGTGTCCTGGCCCCACTCCTGGGGAAGCCGGGCCCCATTTCCACTGCCTGTACCCTCATGGTGCCGGGCCCAGCGGGGGATGCAGGAGGCCGGAGGGCCCACCCTGCCTTTGGGAAGGGAAAGCCGCCCCTTCCCACAGGGAAGCAGACACAGTGAGTAAGCAGCAGCCGGCCGGGTGGGATTACAAGTCTGTAATCCCAGCACTTTGGGAGGCCAAGACAGGCGGATCACAAGGTCAGGAGATCGAGACCATCCTGGCTAACACGGTGAAACCCTGTCTCTACTAAAAAATACAAAAAACTAGCTGGGTGAGGTGGCGGGCACCTGTAGTCCCAGCTACTCCAGAGGCTGAGGCAGGAGAATGGCGTAAACCCGGGAGGCAGAGCTTGCAGTGAGCTGAGATCCGGCCACTGCAAGCTCCACCTCCTGGGTTCACGCCATTCTCCTGCCTCAGCCTCCAAAGTAGCTGGGACTACAGGTGCCCACCACCACGCCCAGCTAAATTTTTATATTTTTAGGAGAGACGGGGTTTCACCATGGTCTCAATCTCCTGACCTCATGATCCGCCCACCTCGGCCTCCCAAAGTGCTGGGATTCCAGGCGTGAGCCCCGCGCCCGGCCCCACTTCCCACTTTTGAGCCTCTGTTTCCTCATCTGTGAAATGGGAAGAGGACCCGTGCCTCCTGGGCAGGGATGCTGAGGACAGAGGGTACGCGTACACGGCACGGGGCAGCCTGACCGGCCCTGTCGCTCAGTCCTCACTCAGGCAGGCAGGGTCAGTGGGACAGGACTGACCAGTCGGGCAGTTGGCTGCCCCCAACTGTGGGCTGGGGTGCTGCTGGCCGGGCTGCCAGGTCAGGGTCTCTGGGGGCCGGGCCTGTCAGGCTCTCACTCTGTGCAGACTCTGGCATTTCAGAAAGTGCCACCCTAGCAGATAGCCAGCCCCCATCCCTGCTGCTTGGACTCAGGGCTCAAAAGAGCCCCCGGGGAATTTGGGCTAAAAAGAAAAGCCCATAACAGCCGTGCCAAGCACCAGATGGTGAGGGGGCTCTGTGGGCTCCAGGCTGGATGCTGCCTGCTCCACCCTGTACAGCCGGCTGTATGGCATCTAGACGCCTCCCTCCACCTGCCCCCATTTCCCCTCTGTCCCCACCCCTGCCCAGCACAGGCCCGGCCTGAGGGGGCGTCAGGGGGGCCTTGTGGGTGAGGGCTGCCCGGGTGACGCCTGCGATCCCTGCCAGCTCTCAGAACGCTACGGGCCGGTATTCACCGTGCACCTGGGATGCCAGAAGACGGTAGTGCTGACAGGGTTCGAGGTGGTCAAAGAGGCGCTGGCAGGCCCTGGGCAGGAGCTGGCCGACCGGCCTCCCATCGCCATCTTCCAGCTCATCCAGCGAGGTGGAGGTAGGTGTGTGGCCCGCGCTGTGGGGGACTGCTGGGTGGGCGGTACCTGGATCCCAGGAGGGATGGGGGCTCCAGCATCGGGAGAGGCTCCCAGGGTGGCCTGGGGAAGAGAAGGCAGGAGCTGGGCCTCTGGGCTGGTGCTGGGGGGGGACCAGGTGTCCACACAGCAGGTCACGTGCTCAGGACTGGCAAGCAGGGGTCTTTTCATCCCACGTCAAGAGGGGCCGGGGCCAGTCCTGGGGGACGGGAGTCGGGATGGGGGTGAGGGCCCAGCCAGTCTTACTACCCCTAGGTCAGCCTGCTCACTTCCTGCCCGCTCGCCTGGCAGGGCTGGCTAGGGTGAGAACCTGGGCTCGCCGGGCACCACATCTGCCTGCGTGGTGGGACTGGCTGGGGTGAGAACCTGGGCTCACTGGGCGCTGCATCTGCCCACAGGCATCTTCTTCTCGTCCGGGGCGCGCTGGAGAGCTGCCCGCCAGTTCACGGTGCGCGCCCTGCACAGCCTGGGCGTGGGCCGGGAGCCGGTGGCTGACAAGATTCTGCAGGAACTGAAATGCCTTTCGGGGCAGCTGGATGGCTATGGAGGTGAGCAGGGGGCCGGGGACGCCCCTCCCCAGGCCTCGACGTGCCTGAGGCCTGTCTCCCTTGCAGGCCAGCCCTTCCCACTGGCCCTACTGGGCTGGGCTCCCTCCAACATCACCTTCACGCTCCTCTTCGGCCGCCGGTTCGACTACCGGGACCCCGTGTTCGTGTCCCTGCTGGTTCTCATCGATGAGGTCATGGTCCTCTTGGGGTCCCCTGGCCTGCAGGTGAGGGGCTGCCTCCCGTCCTCGGGGTGGGGTGGAGCCCGGGGTGCTGGGCGTGCAGGGGAAGGACAGGGGCCCCAGCACTGTCCCCTCTCAGCTCTTGGCCCTCTCACCTTGCAAAACGAATCAGACTCAAGGGCCTGAATCCAGACCCATCTGACATTAGCTGGTCGTGTGGCCTCAAACCAGCTGCTGTGCTCTCCAGGAAATGGGGGATCTTGATCTCCCCCGACGCCCTCATCAGTGACAGATGCACCTGCTCAAGGGCAGGGGAGGGAGGCAGGCATGGCTTCCCCAGGATTGCGGGGGGCTCCATGCCCCCCCAGCCCTGACAGTCCAGGCACCTTCCAGCCGACACCCTTCACAGTGCCCCAAAACCACAAAAGTTGATCCCTCTGATGTCTGGAACGCATGTGTATTTCATTTTGCTTCAAAATGTAAAGTTTCCCTCTTTTGGGTCCTCACCGTATTCGATGTGTGTTTACCGAAGCCCGCATCTCAGGTGTGATACCCGCGTCACGGCTGGACCCAGAGGCCATGGGTCCTGGTCCTCCTGGCTTCCCAGCGGCAGGGCTGTGACGGAAGTGAGGGCAGCGTCAGGTTCACAAGTGAGAGCGGGGGGCACAGCTTCCACCTGTCCTAGCCAGGGTGAGACCACCCTGCCTGCTGGTGCAGTCAGGCGGGCCCGGAGCCCACCTGGAAGATGGAGGTTGCATGGCACTGTGTGGTCCGGGGCAGCGCCAGGGCAGCGGAGCGTTCCCTGGCTTTCCCTGCTGGTGCCAGCTCCTTGCCACGGAGGCGCCGTGTGGACCTCGCTACTGGTGATCACGGACACCCCAGGAAGGCGAGTGGCATGAGGTGTGGCGGGGCGGCCACGGGCAGTCACGGAGCACCTGCTGGTGCCAGGCTCACCCCTCAGATACAGCCTCGTGTCCGCAGCGGCCCCAACTCTCCGAGGTCTGAGGTCTGCTCTGCCTCCCATTCCATGACTCACAGGAGGTTCAAGGTTATTTCCACGGTGGCAGTTGCCTCCCTCCTCCCTCTGCAGGATGGAAGGAGGTCCTGCTGTGCAAACCTGCCTGGCTCTCCCCTTCCAGGGCACGGACGGGGGTTTCCTGGGAGTCCCTGGTCCTCCCTTGAGGGCGAAGGGTCCCTGTTCTGTGGCGGCCTCCAGCACATCCGCCCAGAGTCCCTGGGTGTGAACACAGCCGCTGGGGACGATCACTGCCTGCCAGGGTGCGGCCCTGGGACTGCGTCCTCATCTCTGCTCCTCCTGCCTCCTACCCAGCTGTTCAACGTCTACCCCTGGCTTGGGGCCCTGCTCCAACTGCACCGGCCCGTCCTGCGAAAGATTGAGGAGGTCCGCACCATTCTGAGGACCCTCCTGGAGGCACGGCGGCCCCACATGCACCCAGGGGACCCTGTGTGCAGCTATGTGGATGCCCTGATCCAGCAAGGACAGGTGTGCCGGGACCCAGGTCCTCCTCGAAGGCCTGTAGGAGTCCTGAGGGCCACCCCAGGGGAGCAGGGCTGGGGAGGGGTCCATACCAGTCCTGCACCAAGCTCCCCACCTCCTGGCTGGCAGCCTCTCAGAGCTTCAGTCTCCTCGTCTGTGAAACGGGGCATCCATAGTGCCTGCCTGGGGGATGGCTGAGCCCAAATCACTGGGGCATCCATAGTGGAGCCCAGGGCTGGGTTGGGTCTGTAGGGTGGGGGACAGACCCCAGATCATCCCACGGAGCCCTGCCCCACGCCTCTGCAGGGGGATGACCCCGAGGGCCTGTTTGGTGAGGACAACGCAGTGGCCTGCACCCTGGACATGGTCATGGCCGGGACGGAGACGACCTCGGCCACACTGCAGTGGGCTGCGCTTCTGATGGGCCGGTACCCGGACGTGCAGGGTGAGACCCGGCGCTGGGCGAGACGACACCTGCCCCTGGGGGACCCCCAGGGCCGAGGGATGGCACTCCCACCGACGCGGCCCACCCCTCGCCCCAGGCCGTGTGCAGGAGGAGCTGGACCGCGTGCTGGGCCGTGGGCGGCCTCCCCGGCCGGAGGACCAGCAGGTGCTGCCCTACACCAGCGCCGTGCTCCACGAAGTGCAGCGGTTCATCACGCTCCTGCCGCACGTGCCCCGCTGCACCGCCACTGACACACAGCTGGGCGGCTTCCTGCTCCCCAAGGTGGGGCCGGGCCTCCCTTGCCCCTTCCATCTCCTTTGGGGTAGGCCTCGGCGGGGGTGCAGGGGCACTGGGACGGCTGAGCCTCCAGTGGGTGCCTGATGGCCCAGGGCTCCCCAACTGGAGGCAATAAGGGGCGTCCAGCCAGGAGCAGGAGGGAGGCAGCCCTCACCCCACAGCCCAGCACTTGGGGCTCTGGCCAGCAGACCTGGTGCCTCCCTGCATATCCTGGGGTCCCCTCCATGTGTCCTGTGGGCATCCCTGTCCATGTGTCCTGGGGGTCCCCTCTGTGTGTCCTGGGGTGTCCCTGTCCATGTGTCCTGGGGGGTCCCCTCCGTGTGTCCTGGGGTGTCCCTCTCCATGCATCCTGGGTGTCCTCTCTATCCTCAGGGCCCCTGGCTGTGTGCCCTGGGGTCACATGGCCTCCCTGGGTTCGGGTGCCTCACCTGCAAAGTGGGCTAACACCAGATGTGGTGGGTGTGGCAGGAGCTACATCCTGGAATGAAACTTCCCGATCCGGGCCCCATCCCGCCTTCCCCGGGGCCCCTCTCTCTGTGCCCTGGCTGCCCACGCAGGGCACGCCCGTGATTCCTCTGCTGACCTCGGTGCTGCTGGATGAGACACAGTGGCAGACCCCAGACCAGTTCAACCCGGGCCATTTCCTGGATGCGGACGGGCACTTCGTGAAGCGGGAGGCCTTCCTGCCTTTCTCTGCAGGTCGGCCGCCCTTGTGGCTGGGGTGGGGCGGCACCTCCAGGGCTGCAGGGGTGGGACGTCCCCAGCTCCACCCGCTGCCTCCACTCCCACCTCCTCATCTCAGGTTCTGAAGGCGGCTGTGGCTGCTCCTCCGCTCCCCTGGGGAGGTCCCCACCCCTCTCCTCCAGGAGCAGACCTGGCACAGCCCACTCTGTACCTCGACTTCCCCTGCAGGCCGCCGTATCTGTGTCGGGGAGCGCCTGGCCAGGACCGAGCTTTTCCTGCTGTTTGCTGGCCTCCTGCAGAAGTACTGCCTGCTGCCCCCGCCTGGCATCAGCCCGGCCTCCCTGGACACCACGCCTGCCCGGGCTTTCACCATGCGGCCGCGGGCCCAGGCCCTGTGCGCGGTGCCCAGGCCCTAAGGGCTCCCCCAGTCCCTGGGTCCTCCTGCCCACTCCCCTCCTAGCCCCCAGCTCGGACTGCTCTGGGAGAGCCCTGAGAACTCCCACCCCCACCCCCACAGGGTCAGCAGCTGCTTCCGGTTACACCCAGGCCTCCCCCTGCCCGACCCTGTGGGACCCCCACCCCTCTGGTGCCATCCGCAGCTCAGTCCCTGCCAGCCCCCACGAGCGCCTCCAGGGCCCTGCCCACTCTTCCACCCCTGAAGCTGTACTCCCACCCACTGAGCTCCCCCGAGGGCCCACCCAGCTGGGGCTGCCGAGAGACAGCAGGTGGCTGCATCCAGCCAGAGACAGGCGCAGACAGGTGTCCTCAGCGTGTGAGCCCTGCACCCGCCAGGCCCTGGGACTCCTGCAGACCCCGCTCCGTTCCTGCTCCTGGAACAGTTCCTGCGGCTGTACCTGGAGGCAGTCGGCCTGCAGTGCCAGACTGTGAGCCAAGCCACCGGGGCTGCCCTTGGTCCTCCATGCGCATGACAGGTGCAGGGAGGCGAGGCCCACATTCTCCTCTGGAGACAGGAACTGGAGCCGGAGGCTCCCGGGTCTGCCCCATTTCCTGGGGACCTGAGCAGACTTATTCCACTCCGGGCGGTTTCCCCTCTGTGAAGTGGGTGATGGTGACTGCGGAACCCGTGGCCCGTGTGCTGGTGGTGGCGTGGTCGGTGTGTGCCAGGACACCTGGTGTCTGAGACGGCCCTGGCCCCCGTCCCAGCGCAGAGCATGCACGTGAGCAGCAGGTGGCCCCTCACAAGAAAAGAAGATAAGCCGTGGCATGTTCCCACCTGCAACCCGTGGAGCGGCGCCCCAAGGCCAGGACCCGGCAGCCGGGACACACGGGCGGGCGCACGGCAGGCCTCACACTCCCGGGTGGGGCTGCAGGGTCCCTAAGTCACGGGCGGGGCTGCTGCTGCGGAGGCTGCTGGACCTGCTGGACCCGCTGCAAGGACCAGAAGGGGCGGAGGGAGGGGGGCTCGGCTGCGTCCGCTCACGTATTTCTGGGGAAGAGCAGGGACAAGTGCTGGCTTCACTGTTCTCCTCTCAGACATTTGAAATACGACACTGAAAACTTGGAAGGGCAGAGAGAATGGGGTCCCAGCACCAGGTGGGGCCACGCGACACCCCGTCCAGTGTGACTGGTGAGCCCCTCTGGAGCTCTGGAGGGTGCAGAACATTCCAGGGCAGGGGCTATGGAGAGTCCCTCCCAGCTGTCGTCAGGGCCTCCTGGGTGGCGTGGAGGACTCAGGCCCCGCCCCTCCCGGTCCTGCAGGGGACCCTCATGCCCCCACCTTACATTGGCCTGGGGTATTCATCTCCGCGGGCCCAGGGGAGCCCCCGGCCCACGTGGGGAGGAAACGCTGACCCTTTCCTGCCCCGCTTCATTGAGGCCCAGCCGACGTGAGGGACGCCAAGTGCAGGGGGATGAGTAACGGCTGAGCTTCCCCTCAAAGCACTAAGACAAATGTAACCCCAACCCTGACTCCATCCCTGACCCCGCCTGCCCACCTCACGCGACCTCTCACCCCATCTCACCTGGGAAGAAACAACCCAGCGAGATCACAGGGCTCCTCCCCGGGGTGCAGCCTGGGCCCCCCAAGCTAGGCGGTCCAAATGCCTCATCCTCAAGTGTAAACAAGCCTAGCTTAGTGAAAACAGAGTGAGCAGGTGTCTAATCTCCTTCAACTCGTGCCCAGGGGCATGGGCAAGGGGGAGGGAAGGGAGGGGACACGTGAGACCCGAACCCAGAAGTGCCACCTTCTCGACCGGGCAGACCTGGGTGCCCCCGTTTCTCATAGCTGCACTCAGGCTGCTGGCGGGGTGCGCAGGCACATCCCGGAGGCTTGCTGGGAAACGCCGGGGCTTGGCACGGACGTCTACACCTCATTTCCAAGTGTTCTTTTGTTGGCATTTTTAAAAATTGTGATAAAATACACGTACAGAAAATTCACCATCAGCCATGTTTAAGTGCACAGTTCAGGGGCACAGCCACATTCGTGGCACTGTGCAGCCACCACCGTCACCTCCAGAGTCTCCTCATCTTCCCAGGCTGAAGCTCTATTCTCGTTAGCCACTCCGAGTCCTGCCCCAGCCCTTCTCCTTCCTGGGTCTGTGGGTGTGAGGGCTCTGGGGACCTCGGGTGAGCGGGGAGGGGGTTTGTGCTGCTTTATCCACGCACCTGCAGACGGGTCCTTTTCAAGGGTCCTGGAGAACTCGGGCAGGGGCAGCCCGTGAGCCCAGCTTCCTCACGCGTGGATTTCGGGAGATGCCTCTGTGGACATCACGGTGCCCAGATGTCACGGGAGAGGCAGACACCCTGAACCCCATGGCTCATGACGGGGCTGAGCTGCTCCCTGGACGTCTGTCCTCAGCAGCAGGGGGGACGCCGACCCCGGCCCCCGCCTCTCGGTCTCCAGGGGAGGACCCTCCTGGGGTGGGCAGGCGGCTCTCTGCCCCAGATCTGCTTCTGCGTCTGAGGCTGGCCCTCAGCCGGGCCGCACGGGCCTCCCATTACCCTCCTAAGTCAAGGTAAAACAAAACCACAGTCCCCGAGTCATCTACAAACCTCCCACAGCAAGCTCAGAGGGGGAGGCCATCTGAGGGCCGGGGGGGCCGGCTTAGGAGGAGGCCAAACTTTACCCACAGAGACGCCGTTAAACAGAACCCAAGTGACCCAAGGGAGCTGCCGCGCCACCGCTCACCCACACCCGCAGGGCACACACATGCAGGGGCTGGGGGCCGCGTCCAGTGTGGTGGGCGTCTTGGTTCAGATGTCCTGAAGCTCCTCCCTCAGAGTGGGCAGCCCCCATCAGGAAACCTCTGGCTGGGAACCCAGAGGCTGGAAGCTCGCCTCACTCTGGGACCTGGGCTCTCCCCGTGATGGCTGGGCTCCCTCAGGGCGGGGGTCTTCTTCCCCCTTTGGATGGTGAGGGGGAAGGAGGCAGGATGATGGCAGGGCTGGGTGGGCTCACCGGGCTTCAGAGGGCAGCGGGACTTGGACAGCTCAGCCCAGCGCCCAGCTCTCACGAATGCCCTGAGGCAGGCCCATCACTGGCCAAATTCCACCCCCTCCTGCCTGCACCCAGTCCCTTGTGAAATCTAAGCAAAGTCCTGGGGTGTCTGAGGTCAGAGTACATCGCGTAGCTGCCGCTGCCTAACAAGCGGGTGGGTGGCCCGTGGCTCTGGACTGCTGGGCCACAGATGATGAGGTGAGGCTTGGAAGAGTCTGAAGGATCTTAACTTTGATGGTTATTCAGGGTTTGAGGCTGCGCTCAGCTTTATCATCTGTGGAACCCGTGCAGCCAGCAGGGGTACCAGCAGTTCTGAGGTCCCAGTGGGCAGGCCGGGTGGCCTGACCCAGGCAGGGCAGGGGGACGGCAGCTGGAGCGCGCGGTGGAGCCTGATCCCTGGGAGCCACTGGAGGGCGCGTGGCGCACGGCACCCGACCAGCGCGTGACTGTGACTGGAGCAGGAGCCGAGGAGCTGGACGGACGGCAGGTGGCGCCACCTGATCTGTGCAGGGACAGGCAGGGAGAGAGAGAGCCCAGCTGGAGGCGGCCGGGGCTCTAGGGAGAGGAGTGGGGAGCGGACAGCGCCGGCCCGGGCTGGAAGGTCAGCTTGAGGCTCTGGGATATGAACACTGGGCACCGAGTCATCCAGAAATAAATGCCAGGCACGGTGGCTCACGCTGGAAGGAATCCCAGCACGGTGGGAGGCCGAGGCGGGAGGATCGCTTGAGCCCAGGAGTTTGAGACCAGCCTGGGCAACACAGTGAGCCCCCACTTCTACAAGAAATACAGAAAGTAGCCGGGTGCAGTGGTAGCAACTGTGGCCCCAGCTACTCGGGAGGCTGAGGGAGGAGAATCGCTTGAGCCCGACAGGTGGAGGTGGCAGTGAGCAGAGCTCATGCCACTGCATTCCAGCCTGTACGACAGACTGGGACCCTGTTTCTAAAACGATGCCACTATCTTGAGGGATTGGAGGGAGGAAAGTGCTCTGAGGGTGATTCAGCGGCTGAACCTGTCATTCTTGGTGGAGGTGAGCAGGCAGCAGTCGGTGTGAGCCGCTTGTCAGACGTCAATCCTGCAACCAACTGCTCAGAGGCCGCTTCCTCAGAGGCTGGGTGGGCTGGGGCAGGGGACGGTTTCCTCGGGTCTCAGTGCTGTGAGGGGTCTCTGACCTGCTCGGACAAGTGCTCACGCCCCCAATGTCAGGGAGGACCCTTTGCCCCAGAAAGCCCGTCGACATAGATCTGCTCACCCCCACGGGAAATGTGATTCTGACTTCCAGCGTTCCTTTTGATTATTTAAAAAATTTTATTTCATTTTTATTTTTGAGACGGAGCCTCACTCTGTCGCCCAGGCTGGAGTGCAGTGGTGCAATCTCGGCTCACTGCAAGCTCCGCCTCCCGGGTTCAACTGATTCTCCTGCCTCAGCCTCCCGAGTAGCTGGGATGACAGGCGCCCACCACCATGCCTGGCTAATTTTTGTATTTTTAGTAGGGATGGGGTTTCACCATGTTGGCCAGGCTGGTCTCGAACTCCTGACCTCGTGATCCGCCCACCGTGGCCTCCCAAAGTATTGGGATCACAGGCGTGAGCCACCGCACTCAGCTCTAAAAAAAAATTTATTTTAGATGTCGGGTCTTGCTCTGTGGTGTAATCAATGCTCACTGCAGCCTCAACCTCCTGGGCTCAAGCCATCCTCCCACCTCAGCCTCCCTAGTAGCTGTGACTACAGACACATGCCACCACCCCCGGATTTTTAATTTTTTGTAGGAGGGCGGTTTAGCCATGTTGCCCAGGCTGGTCTCAAACTCCTGAGCTCAAGCCATCCTCCCGCCTCCACCTCCCAAAGTGCTGAGATTACAGGCGTGAGCCGCCGCACCCGGCATGAGTTATCAGTGTGAGGTTTGGTGGTTCTGACACCTGCACACGCCCGCGTAACTGCAGGGCACATTTCTCCCTGAGTTCCGCCCGGACCTGCGTACTCACTGTAGGGACATTCCTCCCTGAGCTCCGCCCGGATGCTTTGTCACAGCCCATCACTTATGGCCTCGAACATATGCGAAGGGAACAGCACGCATACCCGCACTGAAGTCTGGCGCCTCGCTTGGCACAAATCTCAATCTGCCGCCTGGCTTGCTGCGGGTCAGCAGCTGCCCTCTCCACCGTGAGCGCTTGCCCAGGGACAGACGTGAGGGGCGGATGTGAGGGTCGTCTCCAGGCTAAGGTGGGGCTTCCTTAGCCCGAGGCTTCCTGGCTCAGGAGTCCCGCACAAGCGCCAGCCGAGACAGGGACTCTCAGCCCGTTCTCCGGCACACACAGCCCCAGCACAGGTGGCCCCATGTGGTTGGCCCTTGGGGTTGCATGGGTGGGTGCCCTCGCTGACCTGCACGGGGTAGGGAGACCCCAGGGCATTGTGTGGTTCTCTGAGCTGCGTCCCGGGTGACATCTCCGCACCACTCTTTGGCACCTTTCGCCAGGGAGCCCTGAGGAGCTTGGCACCTTACGACCCACAGAGGTGGGAACCGTTGACAAGACAGCACTCCCCAGCCGGTGTCAGGGGAGCATCTGTGCTGATGAAGGGAGGCCCAGGTCTTCAAGAACTTTTCCCATTAACTGTCGGTGAGGACTCAGCAGTACCCACCACATTTCCCTTTCTGATTTGCCTGCTGGGAAGCTCAGAGCCACGGTTCTGGATCTATCAGCCCTGCCTTCTGGAGGCTGTGGCCCTTCTTTGCACTCTGCGGGTCTGCCTCTGCTGTCTGTTGGTGTTTAAGGTGCCTCCCGGCATAGGGGCCGCTGAGCTCCCTGACTGCTGGGCTGGCCACGGACCCTTCCGAGCAGCTTCTCTGCAGAGCTGTGCTGCCAGGACCCGGATCGCAGGCACCGCCTCGCCGATCTGAAGGTTCGTGCTGTGCAACGTGCCTTCCTGTTTGTGAGTTCACCTGACCAGCACCAGGAGGGGCCAGACTCCTCATCTGCTGCCGGCAAGGCCCACCCTGGGCCAATGCAGTGCACACAGCAAGGCCTGTGTTGTGGGTGGTCAGAATTTTGGCCCCAATAGCGAGTGAGACGGGGCTGGCTGCTGGCCACAGAAGAACAAACAGCCTCATTGCCTTCCCACAGCTCGGTGGGTACAGAGAAGACATGGGGACTAGGTCCTTAGGGTCTCCTCCAGCCCCGAGTCTCGATGCCCACATAGAGACGGCTTGAGTAGTCAGCCAGACCTGCCCAGACACCCCTGATGTGTAGACCCAGCTCCTCAGCTTGGACCACATTTTAGCCCAGCCCTGGGTGTCTTAAGGGAGCTAAGATGGAAGTCACAGTAGACGTCTGTGGGTCACAGTGAGGTCAGTCACCGCTCAAGGTACAGGCCCCGAGAAGCCCAAAGCCCTCCCCAGGACGACAGCCTGGAGCTGGTGAGGCCGTGCTCCCACCTCCTGGCTTGTGTGCAGCTCTGTGGGTCGGGGCAACCAAGCCAGGCAGCCTGACCTCAGCCTCAGCAGCTCTGTTGGGGGGCGGGGCACCCAAGGGGGCACTCGGGGCCTGAGCCAGTGTCCCAAGGCTGCCAGGTGGTGGCTGCAGCTACTTTTCTGCTCCACTGTCAGTTGGAGGAGCACTGAGATGGCAGCACAAACCTCCAACCTGAGCCAGGCAGCAGGGAGCTCTGGGGCAGCAGCACCTGGGCGTCCGCTCTGTGGATGTCCGGAGCCGCTGGACTCAGCCCTCCCCGGGGCCCATCCTGGAACAGACTTGGCCTCGCAGGGGTGCATGGATCTCCTCGCCATGGCCACCCGGCCCTCCACAGCAGCTGCCCAGAGTTCTGTGGTCACCATGGCCCTCTCGATGCCCCGCTGCACCTCACATCACTTGGGGACCACAGGCTGCTGGGAACAGGAAGTGTGTGGCTCGATTCTGTGTGGCCTAAGTGTGTTTCCTGGCAGGGTCAGTCACTGCCAGCACTGGGAAACGGCCGGCCTGAACGCAAGTGGTCAGCCAGCACCCACTGCCAGGAACGCCACACACAGAGAGCCCTGAATGGCATCCTGGGACGGCCACCACTAAAGACGGAGTCTCAGCCCGGGGCGCGCTGGCATGGAGGACGCGCTGGCATAAGGGACGCGCATTCTGCAGTCCACAGGCAGAGGACGCACCGGGCAGAGCAGGACCCACGGCCCCTGGTGGGTCGTGTTTTATTTCAAATGCGGCCACAGAGACGGTTTCTGCATAGGTGAGTGATCTGACTCCACAAGCCCCCAGCAGGGACTCCCCATGACCAGCAGTGAGGCTGTGTGGGGTCAAAGGAAAACAGGGAACAGCCAGGCCCCTGGATGGACGCGGGCAGGGGACCGGGAACGCGGCCCACACAGGGGGATGGGGAATCAGGCGGAAGGTGCAGGTTTGCAGCTGGCAGGAGGAGCCAGCGTGGCCCAATCTCTAAAATATTCCTGGTAGAAAAATAGACATTTCCCTCCCAAGCAGATTCCCAGGGCTCCAGGGCCCCTCCAAGGCCAGGCGTCTGGGTGATTCCAGAGCGTCCACGCTCTGTGCTGAAGGCACTGAACCCGTCGTCACTGTCACAACTGTCTCCGGCCAAGGAGGGTCTGGAGGACAGAAGGGGCCCTTGCGAGGCTCTGGTGCTGGTGATCCCGGCCCCCACCGCCGGAGGAGCTGCACCCTGTGTGGTCCGAGGCCGCCCTGCGCTGGGCAGTGGCCCCGTCCCGCGCTGAACCCACTAGGAGAGCAGCTGCAGCACCTGCCGGATGCGCTGGACCCTCCCTGGCAGGAGGGGATCGGGGTCCTCCTCGTCCAGCTCCCGCATCAGAGCTTCTGCCTTCTGCACCGTCAGCTCGCGGGCCCGGCCCTGCAGCCCCTCCAGGTAGGCCAGCATGGTGGAGAAGTGCTCATCGGGAACCTGGACAGGGAAGAGACCGAGTCAGTCAGGGGCAGGGCAGGGCAGGGCAGGGCGGGGCCGCTGAGCAGCAGGAGACAAGATGCTGCAGCCAAGGACAGACACCCTGGCCTCAGGTTTCTGTCCTCCCACCGCAGCCCGAGGGAGCAGGCGGCCTGGCCACGGACCCTGCCCCAGACACTGCAAGAAGAAACGCCGGTTAGAGGCAGACAGAACACTGAATCAACCTGTGGCTAAAACAGAAGCCACGCGGGGGGAAGGACATTTCAAAAACATTGTAAAAATCCTCGGAAAAATGAGAAAACACGACACAAATAAAACAGGGGTAAGCCATGATAAAATGTGCACTCGGAACAAAAAGCCGCGTAGGCTCCTGCACTTGGCGTGCTTTTCTTTCCACTCAGGGTGGCAGTGGCCAGGTGGTATCTCTTGGTGGCCTGACCCTTGTCTGCTGGTGGTGGGGGCTCCTCTGTGCAGGCTCGCCGGCCACCTGCGAATCTGCTCTGCAGACGGGTTTCCCCAGGTCCCTGTGGCAGCAGCTCTCAAAACTGGGCTCTTTTCTTTTTTTTTTTTTTTTTTTGAGACGGAGTCTCACTCTGTCGCCCAGGCTGGAGTGCAATGGCCGGATCTCAGCTCACTGCAAGCTCCGCCTCCCGGGTTCACGCCATTCTCCTGCCTCAGCCTCTGGGTAGCTGGAACTACAGGTGCCCGCCACCTCGCCCAGCTAGGTTTTTGTATTTTTTAGTAGAGACAGGGTTTCACCATGTTAGCCAGGATGGTCTCGATCTCCTGACCTCGTGATCCGCCCGTCTCAGCCTCCCAAAGTGCTGGGATTACAGGCTTGAGCCACCGCACCCGGCCCCGGGCTCTTTTCATTATTGAGTTAGCAGAGTTCTCATTCATGTGGGACTTGCAAACGTCTCCCATTCTGGAGCAACCATTTCACTTTCTGGCTAGTTCTGCATGCAGTGCAAATTCTTAGATGCATTTCTTTTCTTTTCTATTTTTTTTTTGGGCTGGTCTTTCTCTGTTGCCCAGGCTGGACTGCACTCCACCTCCCAGGTTCAAGCGATTCTCCTGCCTCAGCCTCCCAAGTAGCTGGGATTACAGGCAAGCATTACCACACCCAGATAATTTTTGTATTTTTAGTAGAGATGGGGTTTTGCCATGTTGGCCAGGCTGGTCTTGAACTACTGACCTCAAGTGATCTGCCCGTCTCAGACTCCCAAAGTGCTGGCATTACAGGCGTGAGCCACCATGCCTCGCCACACAGTCTTAGATCCTGATGAGGATGCTTTCTCGACTTTTTCCTTTGTCACTTGTGCTTCTAGAGCCACATTTAAGAAACCGTTGCCTCACCGGAGGTCATGAAATGGACTCAGGTCTTCATGTAAGAGTTTTGGTTTTAGCTTTTAAATTTAAGTCTTTGATCCATTTTGAGTTAATTTTTGCATATGGTGTGAAGCTGGGGGCTGCATGCATTAAGTATTAGCATATTTGTAAATATGTACAGTTACAATACATGTGGAATAAAAATGTATAAGTAAAATGCACATGTGTGTTTGTAAATATGTTTATGACAGTGTAAGATACTTTGTGTGTGTGTGTATACACACATATAAATGGCTTTGCCTAACCAAGAATTATTTTTCTGTATAAAAATTTTTGTATAAAGTTTACTTTTGGTAATAGTAACATATAAATAAAACCCTGTAAACTTCGGTTAAAAAAAAACAAAGCCAAACATGGAAACCCAGTTGTCCTGGGCTCTGTTGAGAAGTTTCCTCCACGTGGAACGGGCTTGGCCCTCGTGCTGGAATCAGCTGCCCTGGGCGTGAGGGTTTCCAGGCTCCCCAGGCTGTTCCAGTCACTTCTACTTCCAGCTTTGCGCCCACCCCAGTGTCATGATGACAGGAGCACGCAGTAGGGCTTCCAATCGGGATGCACATGTCCTCTGACTCCGAGGAGAGAGAATGGCTCGAGCCCAGGAGGTTGAGGCTGCAGTGAACTGTGATCATGTCACTGCACTCCAGCCTGGGCGGGACCCTGTCTCAAAAATGCCCACAAAAAACCAACATCAGCAAAATAATGAAAGCGGCTGCAGGCTATGCCTGGAATGTCCCAGGGCTGTGAGTGGGGCCAGTGGGCCTGCCCCGCTCTGAGAGTCTGCACACACAGGCACGGCAAGAGAAAACCGCGCCCTGCCCTCGGCGCACATGCACAGAGCACGCAAAGCCTGGTCTCTAGTAACATGGGCGCAGGAGAGCTGGTAAGGCAGAACCGTGGGCTCCGCCAGCCTCAAAGGACACGGGCAGCTCCAGCCCACCTCCCAGCAGTCGGGTTTAGTTCAGAATTCTGTCTCGTTTCATTCTGTGAAACCCATCTCACATCCTGCCCCTGAAAAGGACAGCTGCCCACACTTGCATGTGCAGACATGCGTCACACACACACACGTGCAGACACATCACACACGTGCAGACTCACGTCACACGTACACATGCATGTGCAGACACACATCACACGCACGTGCAGACGTGTCATACACATGTGCACACACCACACACGTGTAGACTCACGTCATACATACACACGCATGTGTAGGCACACGTCACACACGTATAGACACACGTCACACGTACACACTCATGTGTAGACACACGTCACACGCACACATGCACAAGGGCAGGTGGCCTCCCTAAGGTCGTCCTGTGTTGGTTTCTGTCCTGAAGGCTGGCGATGGGGCTCCTGGAGGAGGCAACGCAGCTCTCTTAGAACAAGGGCACCAGGAGACCTTCCCTGCAGCGGGCCCTGAGGGTGGCCCTTTCAGACTGTGGTTTCTGCTGTCAGGGCCCCAGTGTGCACAGACCTCAGCCCCCGGGAGACACGCCCGCCCCGCCGTGCACGGACCTCAGCCCCCTGGAGACGCGCCCGCCCCAACGTGCACGGACCTCAGCCCCCGGGAGATGCGCCTGCCCCGCCATGCACACACCTTGTCTCTGTCATACATGTGGAGCAGGAGCCACGTCTGCCTTGTCTTCTGAAACCTCCAGTTCTTGTGCTTTTGGGCCCATCTAGGGAAAGGAAGACAAACATCTCAGGGTGCTGGGCAGAAGACTCCCGGGTGCCTGTCTGCCCTGACAGATCTGGGACGCCTCATCTTAGGAGATGGAGCCCCACCAGGCGCTAAACACCAAGGCCTCGGGTGAAGGGTGAAGGGGGTTTTTGGAGCCCCTCCCCTGCCCGAGGTGAGGAGCCGCAACCCCAGGCCCTGCTGCCGCCTGCCCAGGAAGCTCGTGGATGCCACTCTTACCGTGGCCACCCCACGGCTCATGACTGCCCCCAAGTCCCCATGGGCTCCCCCGCCCCACGGGTCACACGGATTTTACAGGGGAGGGAGGATAAAACGAGTTTCTCTGGGAGGAAAGGGAGCAACTTAATTGATGATGTACTTTCCGTATGAAAATGGGAAGACGGTGAGGAACACTCCTGAGTCCAGGCCCTCACAAGGGGGCAGTGGGCCTGGGGCCACAACCGCCCCGCCCCCACCTTGCTCCTGCACTGGGGCCTGTGGACATCAGGCAGCTGCCGGACGGAGCGAAGCCGGCGCTGTGGCTAGGGCAGGGCCAGGCAGGGTTTAGTCCAGAGACCTCTTCCCAGACACGTGTTTCCAGGGTGAGGTAGGGCAGCCGAGCCCAGATGCCTCCATCAGTGTGCAGGCCCAGGTCTGAAGACTGCAGGCTCAGCACAGGCGAGGGCCCTGAGCCTGCTGTGAGCACTGCCCAGCCCGCCTGTCCTCACTGCCATGTGGGTGAGTGGGGTTCTGTGGGTGGGGAGTCCTGTGGGTGGGTGGGCAAGGGTGAGTGGGGTTCCTGTGGGTGGGGGAGTCCTGTGGGGTGGGTGAGTCCTGTGGGTGGTGGAGTCCTACAGGAGGGGAGTCCTGTGGTGGGTGGTGGAGTCCTGTGGGTGGGTGGGGTCCTGTGGTGGAGTCCTGTGGGTGGGTGGAGTTCTGGGAGTCCTGTGGTGGGTAGGAGTCCTGTGGGGTGGGGAGTCCTGTGGGTGGGTGGAGTCCTGTGGGTGGGTGTGGGGTCTGTGGGTGGGTGGAGTCCTGTGGGTGGGTGGAGTCCTATGGGTGGGTGGAGTCCTGTGGGTAAGTCCTGTGGGTGGGTGGAGTCCTGTGGGTGGGGAGTCCCAGGGGGTGGATCCCACGTGGAGGAGTCCTGTGGGTGGGGTGGAGTCCTGTGGTGAGTGGGTCTCTGTGGGTGGGTGGAGTTCTGTGGGTGGGGGAGTCCTGTGGTGGGTGGAGTCCCAAGGGTGGGGAGGTGGGTGGGTGTGGAGTCCCACGGGAGGGGAGTCCTGTGGGTGGGGAGTCCTGTGGGTGGGTGGAGTCCTGTGGGTGGGGAGAGAGGTGGGGTGGAGTCCCAATGGGAGGGGAGTCCTGTGGGTGGTGGAGTCCTGTGGGGTGGAGTGGGGTTCTGTGGGTGGAGTTCTGTGGTGGAGTCCTGTGGGTGGAACCTGTGGGCAGTGGCCCTGTGGGGAGTCCTGTGGGTGGGTGGGAGTCCTGTGGGTGGGGTGGAGGTCCCACGGGTAGGAGGGGAGTCCTGTGGGTGGGGGTGGGGAGTCGTGGGGTGGGGGGAGTCCGTAGGTGGAGTCCTGCGGGAGGGGAGTCCTGGGTGGGTGGGGAGTCCTGTGGGTGGGTGGAGTCCCACGGGAGGGGAGTCCTGTGGTGGGGAGTCCTGTGGGTGGGGATTCCTACGGGTATGGAGTCCTGTGGGTGAAGAACCGGCTGTGTACCTGGCTAGGTGACACACCAGCCCCATGTGGACTGACGCAGGGTTCCTGCGTGATGAGAGGAGCCTCCAGGGAGGTTTAACTTTAGTTCCTTTCCTTTTAGACAGCCCCACGTGGTCTGCTCCCCGGATGTCCGATCCGGCCAGCACGGGCCCCTGTGAGGTGCACCCGGGCCAGCCAGGCCATGGCGTCTGCCTGCTGGGGGCTGCCTCCCCGCTGCAGGGCAGGAGTTGGCATCTCAGCTCTGCCACCTTCTAACTCCCCCACCTTGAGCTGCTGCTTCCACCAGCCTGTTTCCTCCTTGGGAACCTGGAGCGGTGACCCCACTTCACGGGTGTTACCGGAGCCCACGCACGGCGAGTCAATCACAGCTGCCCTGCACACTGCCCTCCCATGCGGCCCAAGGCCACAGCACTGCTGCCCACGGCCCTGAACCAAGGGTGCCTCTCTCTCACCCAGACCAGGCAGGCTTCAAGCGGAGCCCGTCTCCCTGACCACTGAAGATAAGCCGTCCCGCTCCTGGCCTTGTCACTGGGGGAGCAGACACAGCGAGGGGCAGGAGAGGGGCTCAGTGTCGCCTGTGGGTCCCACAACGCTGGGCGAAGCCTCCTGAGTGATGGCCGCCTCTGCCACTCGCCCTAGGGACCGGTCCCTGTGCAGTTGCACAGTTCACAGGACACAGTCCTCTTTCTCTCCGCCTAGGTGGGGCAGGAGACAGGAGGCCCCACCTTGGAAAAGGAAAGAGAACAGCCAGAGAGAAGTCCCTTGTCCCCAGCACAGCAGGGACCACGGCCACTGCAGAGTCATCTGTCTACAGCAGCCCAGAGAGAAGGGCCTCTTCCCCTGTGGTACTCACCAGCTGGGTGGAGAACCAGGGTCCCTGCTAGCCCACTGGGCTTAAAAAACAAAAAGCGGGGGCAGCCAGGCACAGTGGCCCACGCCTGTAAGCTGAGCACTTTGGGAGGCTGAGGCGGGCAGATCATGAGGTCAGGAGACTGAGACCATCTTGGTTAATACGGTGAAACCCTGTCTCTACTAAAAATACAGAAAATTAGCCGTGTGTGGGTGGCACACGGCTGTAATCCCAGCTACTCGGGAGGCTGAGGCAGGAGAATCGCTTGAACCTGGGAGGCGGAGGTTGCAGTGAGCTGAGATTGCACCACTGCACTCCAGCCTGGTGACAGAGCGAGACTCCGTCTCAAAACAAACAAAAATACCCCCACAAAAATCGGGGGCTTCTTGCTGAACCCCCTTCCAAAAGAAAACAGAGGGGTTCTCTGCTGAGACAGCATTTGAAGCCAGCCCACAGCCACAGCGTCCACGTGCTCGTAACGGCAGCAGGAACTGCCGACTGGGGCGAGTTGATGACCCAAACCCCACAAAGGCCTGAGCGGGGCTGGCGCAGGCAGGGGCCGGGTCTCGTGGGTTGGCCGCTCCTCCGATACTGGGGCTGGGCTGTCCCTCGGCAGCAGGGCAGTGGGCCTGGGTAGGGAAGGACCCCAGGAAGCATCTCCTAAGCCCCACTGATGGCATCGTTTGGCCTCTGCTCTGGCCTTTCATTCCAGGGTTCCAGGCCCAGAGGCCACAGGCTGCAAGGAGGCTACAACGCCATGCTGTGCTGGGCTCCGTGGGGGGCCTGAGGAAGGGGGGCTTGGGCTGCCCCATGGCCGGAGTGACTTGCTCTCGTCCCTCCGCAGGTGAGTGGGGGACCCTGTTCCGGCTGGATCCGTGCGGCCCGGGTCCCAGCTCCTCTCTCTCCTGTGGGGGCACCACTTCCCGCCTCGAGCAGACCCAGGCAGGGGGTCGGCCCCTGAGAACAGCGAGCTCAAGCCTGTAGGGACCTGGGAGGCAGTGGTCACCTCACCACCCGCCCCCAATGTGAACACCCAGCAGTCGTGGCTGAGGCCCTGAGGCATGCTGGTTTTCTTCTTTCAGCCATATGGAAAGTAGACCTTCAACTTTCCGTGTTCAGCATATAAACTCTTCTTTCTCTTTAAGACGGAGCCGGCTTCCTGCTGACAGCCATGTAACTACCACAGTGGACCCCGCAGCCCAAAGGCCCACGGAAAGCAGAGGGACCGCCCCCAGCATTCCCCAGCTTCCGCCCACGCAAGGCCAGAGCAACATGGCTCCGAGCTGGGCGACCAAGCCCAGGGCCCCTGCTGGGGAAATGAGGGGACAGTCACAGCCCAGGGAAATAGCACACAACGGCCACAATCCCCCACCCCAGCCCTGCTGCGCAGCTCCCACCAGTCCCAGCTCCACACAAAGCCAGTAGTACCCCAGGAAGGCTGCAGAGGAGCTGAACCCTTGAGATGCCAAGAACAGCCCAGGGTACGGTCACCGGTCACAGGCCAAGGTCACTGTGTGCGGACGCTGCCCAGCCTGCGACCTGGGTTCTAGGGACGGGACATGAAGACCCCACGGGTGCCGGGTCCACGCGTCTGGGGGGACAGAGCCTTCGGGGGATCTGGAGGGGAGACTCCCAAGGCATCCTGGAATGGGTGGGGCGCCCCCGGAGAGATGAGAGGAAACTCTCCACCACGAGGGCTCACCAGAACAATTCGGGGTGTCCTCCGCACAGAGCCCACCGGCCGCAGATGGCTTTGCCTCCAGAAGGAACCCCTCGTGGAAAGCCCATAATGGCCATGGGCCACGGCAGCCAGCACGTCCTTCCTGAGTGCCAGCCCAGGGCCTCTGCAGGGGGAGGACAGCTCAGGGGCACCTACCTTCACCTCTGCCCGTGCTGGGGGCTCTGTGCTGGGCCAGCCGTGGCGTGGCCGATGGTCCCCAGCAGCCCCCAGGCTAAGGGCATTCCCCTGTGGGAATCCCTTGGCTTCCTCTCTTTGGAAAACCCCGAGTTGCCAGGGATGCCGTGGGCGCCACACGTCCACGTGGGCTCTGATCTGGCAGCAGATGTGGCTGGGCTTGCGGTGCCCTTGGAGACCCCCAGGAAAGAGGACAAGCTCCTGCCCGGGTGCCCATGTCTGTGGCTGGCCCCCTGGCGTGTGGATCCCAGGCCCTGGAGGAAGCGCGCCTGGGAAGGGGCTGCTTCGTTTTTCAGGAGTAAGGGTCCCCCCTCCTCCCACATCCAGGACACAGCGCCTCCGCACAGGACTTGCTGCTTTGGGGTTGCGAGTAGCGCGAAGGAGCCACGGGAAGGTCCCAGAGGGTGAGAGGAGGGTGAGGCCGAGGATGGGAGCAGGGCGGGCTCCCAGGCACCCAGGACGTTCCTGTGGGGAGCTCGGAGGCTGTGCCATCACGGAAAGGGAGCCAGGGCGCCTCCAGGGTGAAGACCAGGGAGTGGCAGCCATGCTGTGGAGCGGCTGGTCCCCCCTCCTGCCCACGTCCCCAACGTCCCCCTCATTCTAACAGAGTCCACACTGAGAGCAGCCGAAGGCACCGGCAGACGCGGGGAGGAAGGAGGACAAACCCCGCCCACCCCTGCTCCCTGCTCGCCCCAGGCGTCAGGGCAGGTCCAGAACAGAGTCACCTGTTGGTGGAGACAGGAAGGGCGCAGGTGCCACAGCCGCAGGCCCCAGTCGCCCTCTGCCTCCCACAGGGAGCCCACAGTCCATTCCTGTGGCTGGCGCCTTCCAGGCCTGTGTCCAGCCACTCCTCTGTCCAGCCCACACCCCACCCACACCTGGGCTCAAGGCGCTGCACCAACGGCCTCCAAAGCCCCCTCTGTCTACAGCGACTGACCCTGAGGTGGCCTGTGGCCCTGCCTGCCGAGAAGCAGGAGTGGGTGCAGGAGGCAGCGGCCTCACACCACAGCCAGCACCGTCCCCTGGGCCAAGTACATTCTCGGAGCAGGAAAGAGCTCTTGGAGTAGCCCTAGGTACCTGGCCTCAGCCCCACGTTCCCCAGGGAGGGGGAAGCTAAGGCTCCAGATAACTGACTGGTGCAGAGACCCATGATGACTCAACTGGTTCCAGCCGGATTCACTCAACGCTATGGCTGAGCTCCTTCTGCAACCCTCCAAGGCAGCCTAAGCTCTGAGAAGCAGGAGGCTCACCCCCCGTCCCCATTTCCTGAGCCCAGCGCTGAGCCTGGTGCAGGGTGGCCAAGAGACCCTCTCCTGCAGGTGGAAGGCCGTCCTTGGGATGCACACACAACACACACGTCCACACACACACACATATAAACACACATGCACACATGGTTATACAACACACGTATACACATGTGTACACATACGCATACACACATGCACACACGTACATATGCACACACGTACATATGCACACACGCATACATAACACGTACATACATGCACACACGTATACACACTCGCACACGTATGCACAACACACGTATAAGTGCATACACACATGTACACAACACACGTAAGCACATGTGCACACACGTATACAAAACACATACACATATATACAATATGTACACGCACACGCGTGCATACATATACACAACATGCGTACACACATGCACATACACGTATACACAACACACATGCACACACGTACACATGCACACATGTATTCACAATATGTATACATGTGTGCACACACGTATACACATGCGCACACATACACATGTGCACATACACATATATACAACACGTATACACATGCACACACGCAGTATACACAACACACGTGTGTGCATGCAGTGTGCATATCCATGCAAGCCCCCCTGTTCATTCTGCCACCTGCACAGCCGCACCAGGCGTCGTCTCTCTGAGGGGCTCCCACAGAGGTGCGGCTGGAGTCTGTCCTCCTGGGCAGAGCCAGCACCCCCCACAGGACCCCCTGCTCCTCAGGGTGACCCCATCACAGGGACCGGACCCAGTTCTTGTCTCTGAGGAAGCCAGCCACACAGACGCTGTGACACCCCTTACTCTAGGCACAGTCAGCACTCAGGGAGACCGACAGAGCGGACAGAAACGGGCAGCAGCCTGTGCTGGTGAGCACCGGGGAGGTGGCCACGGCCCGCAAGGCTGCGGAGTCCACGCTGAAGCCTCTGACCCCTGCAATCCTGCCTCATCCACCCAGCAACGTCGCAGGCAGCCGGGGAGATGGAGATGGCGCCCTGCGCCTGGCACCTCACGATCCCCGTCTCCCCGCTCTCAGGAGGCAATGGCGCCTCCTGTCACTGTGAGTGAGGGCTGAAGGCCACCCCGAGTTCCCTCCTCCTCACCCCCGCATCCAAGGAGCACCCAGGCTTGGATTCTTCCTGCGGTGAGCATGGCTGGGACGAGGTTCACCATCGGACCCATTTCTAAGAGCACAGTTTCGGGCAACCCCTGCACAGGTGGCAGCTCTGCTGCCGCCTCTGAAAGTTCCTGAAGGCTCTGAGCCATTCAGACAGAAAAGTCAGTGGCGGCAGCACAGGTCTGGCATGAATGCTAATGCCCCACTACTCTAGAACCTTCCACACAGTGTGTGCGGGTGAAGGCTGCGACCCCCTCGGGCAAGGGTGGAGACGCATGCCTGGGACAAAACTACGTGGGGCAGGGCCGCTTACGCGCAGAGGTAGTCCAGGGCCAGCTCAGCTCCCGAGCGCCTGGCCGGCGGGTGCTGGGCTGCGAGGCCTGCCTCCCGTAGACGCTGCCTCTCCTCTTTCTTCCGTTCCTTTTTCAGCTTCCTTTCCAGGACCCTCTGCTCTTCTGGGGACAGCTCCAGCTCTGCGTCCGGCACAGGCCTGAGCACAGCTCCTCCCTGAAAATCAAGGAACACATTAGACTTTGGAAATGGAGGGTATCCAGAGACAGGTGCGCTGCCTGGGGCTTCCTGAACCCACCCTCGCCTTGGTAGTGGCCAAAAAGCTCTGTCCCCAAGCACCGGCCCGGCCCTGGCCGACACCATCCTGTTGAGCCCGTGCTACAACAAAGAGACAGACGGGTCACGTGAGGATGGCCAGTCCCGCGGGCAGGCGCCAGGTGCCAGGGCTAACGGCCCAGAGGCCCCTTCCCCACCCCCATCCACCTACCACAGACAGACTCTTGCCTCCAGAGGCTCTGTGAGGCCCTGCCCCACCCCGCAGGGCGTGGGAAGATCTGGGCCGGTCCCCAGGGAGGGGTGAAGGCCTGCCTGTGCCTGTTATCACACAAGCCAGGTGCTGGCCTGGGACATGACCCAAATCCCGAGGTTGGTGCTTGGGGCCTGCTGCTTTCGGGCAGGTCACTGGCCACCTGGCTCCGCCTGGGCTGCAGGCTGGGGACAGGGAGGGCGACCAGGACCCCAGAGGGAGGGAGAGGGCCCGCTGTGACAATGTGTCTCCAGCCACATCTTGCCAGGAAAGCACAGGCCCTCCGTCTTGCCCACCTTCCCCTAATTAACAAAAGAAGCGGATGGCGCAAAGCGTCAGAGCCGGGGCAGCTGGGCCACAGGGTGACCACGAGGTGACCCCAGCCACTGTCCACACGCTTCATCTTTCCCGGAAAAAGTCAGAACATCAGTGTAGACTCTGGGCAAGGCCAGGAGCCCAGGGAAATGGTTTGGGGCGTGGGAATCAGAACCAGGCACCGCCCACCACGAGCCAGGGCTTCCAGGAAGGGAGGCTGGGCACGCACAGCCCACACCTGTGCATCCCACCCCAGGGAGAGCAAAGTAAAGTGAGGCAAGGTCCCCCCTCCAACAGATATATATGCAACCCACCCCCCAACACAGACACACGTTCACAGACTCACCCCTGACAGCCAAACACAGCCCCCATCCCTCACCCATGTTCCCACACTGACTCACACACACCCACAAACACACACACCCACACCGACATCCACCCAGCCACACCACACCCACCCACCCACATACCACACCCACATACACCCACACACCCACCCACGCACACACCCACACTTACATACACCCAGATACATCCACACACACCCAGATACCCACACACCCAGACACCCACACCCGATAAATCCACACCCAAACACCCACACACACCGACACCCACACACACCCACGCACAGACCCATCCACATACACCCAACAAATCCACACACAACCAGACACCCACAGACACCCAAACACCCGAAGACACCCACACTCAGATACCCAAACACATCCACACACACCCAACACACCCACACACCAGATACCAACACGCACACCCAGACACCCACATACCCACACCTACACACCCACCCACACACCCACAGACTCCACACCCACCCACACCCACACCCACTCACCCAGACACCCACACACCCAACACACTCGCCAACACCCACACACCCACAGACACCTACACACCGAGACACCCACACACCCAGACACCACACCCAGACACCCCACAAACACCCACACCGATACCCACACACCCACCCACAGACACCCGTACTCAGACACACACCGACACCCACGAACACCCACAGATACCCACAAACACCCAGATACGCAAACACACCCACACACCCACCCAACACACCCACACCCACACACCCAGACATCCACAAACACCCACCCACCCACACACCCCCACGCCGACACACCCACAGCCACACCCCTAGAGCCTGCCAGAGGTCCACAGCAAGAGGCAAGGCCTGGGGGGCGAGGGGCACCCACCCGGGCAGGTGCCCGGCACAGAGAGGCTGAAGAGTCCTGGTGGGAAGGCCTGGGCCGCCCATACACACAGGTGGGGGGCTCCGAGACCCACCAGGCCAGGCCCGTAGGGCTCTGAGGAGGGAGGATTTTCATGGTAGGGATGTGGACACCCCCAGGGAAGCCTGGTGACTGACCGGCTCCAACCAGCTCCACGTCCACCTCCTAGGCCCACAGCTGCCAACGGGGCAGGCACAGCAGAACACCCGGCCCTGAAAGGCAAAACCCCTCCTGGCACAGGCCCAGCCTCTGCCCCCGCCCCGTGGGCCACGCAGGCCGCCGCTGATGACGCAGGGCAAGGTCCATAACACTGTTAGGGCTGCAGAGGGGCCGCTGCAGTGGCCAAGGGCCTGTCAGCCCACATGTGTGGGCCACCTGGATAGGACCTGAGCAGGTGGGCAGGCCCTGTGGCAGGGTCCCAGGTTGGCAGCCAGAGTGGTGAGGACAGGGCCAAGGCTGTGGGCAACAGCAACGCAGGCGCTGGCCTCGGATGGATGGCGAAGGGGACCCAGGCCGTCCCATACAGGGGCCAAGCGGGGGACCTGCAGGCCCCGCTGTTTCTCGCAGGCTTCCCGAGTGCCCTGTGCGGGGCTGTTTCTTGTGTCAGGCACCAGCCTGGACGCTGTGGAAACAGCTTCCTTCACACCCACCCTTGCTTCTGGCCACCGGCACTCCTGAGCTGACAGAAGTCACAGCCCAAGTCCCATGCTCCCGAGGGAGCCACTGTGGCCACGAGGCGGGAAGCTCAGGAGCGCCACCCACTGCCCTGGGCTGTACCTGACACTGGCCAGTGCACCTTTAACTTCTAAGTCACCGATGAACCCCGGAAATGATTTCAGTTGAAAAACCCCAAACTCCCGTTTCTGTGCTGGGCCTCAACAGAAGACGCAGAGGCAGGTGGAGTGAGGGAGCCGCGCCCAGACAGCCATGGGCCTCGGCTCCACTCCGTGCCGTCGGCTGCCCTGTGCTCACGCTCGCTGTCCTGGACCAGGCGATTCCCCAAGGCTGTTGACCATGACATGAGTGGCCCCAGCTATCTTGGGATGAAACAGGCGGGCCCCGGGAGGGTGCCAGCTGGAGGGGGCCGGGGGGAAGCAGGTTCGGGCAGGCTGGAGGGCACAGTCCGCGCGGCAGGGCCAGGGGGAGTGGGGGCAGTGTGGGAGGGTGGTGGGGCCGCCAGGACCCGCGCTTCCCCTGCTTGGCCTGCACAGTCTCTGGCCCGGAGAGCACAGGTAAGCAAGGCAGGACGGCCGTCACCCACGGATGAGCAGCGGACAACTTTCTCCAACTGCCACCCACATGCCGACCCTCCAAAGAACGTGGGTTTCATTGGCAAACACTTTCAGCAAACTTGCCACTATCATCACATAGAGCTCCCAAAGTTGCCCCTAGGGCTTGTAAATTACCTAAGTACACACCAAAAACTTTTTAAAAGAATCCAAGTGTCAGCCAGGCGTGGTGGCTCATGCCTGTAATCCCAGCACTTTGGGAGGCCGAGGCGGGCGGATCACGAGGTCAGGAGATCGAGACCATCCTGGCTAACATGGTGAAGCCCCGTTTCTACTCAAAAATACAAAAAAAAAAAAAAAAAAAAAAATTAGCCGGGCGTGGTGGCGGCGCCTGTAGTCCCAGCTACTCGGGAGGCTGAGGCAGGAGAATGGCGTAAACCCAGGAGGCGGAGCTTGCAGTGAGCCAGTATCACGCCACTGCACTCCAGCCTGGACAACAGAGCGAGCCTCCGTCTCAAAAAAAAAAAAATCCAAGTGTCAAAAAGCCTGTGAGGGCCACTTCTACGGACTTGAGTTTTAGGCCTAGGATGCAAAGCCTGGCGCGGCGGCCAGGGCTCACTCCAGGCTCCTGCTGGCTGCAGGATTCTGGGAAGGGGCAGACCTCAGGCCCGTTGGAGCCCCTCTAGGTCCAGTGTCCACCCCACAGACCCTGCAGGCTGGGGCCACTCTCCAGGGAGAGGTGTGCTGGGAGGCTTTGAGCCGAAGCTGTTAGGGCAAGAGTCTCTCTCCTAATGTGACGGCTTTCGGACACAGATGGGACGGGCCCTGTGGAAGGAAGCACTGGCCTGTCACAGACGTGTGATGTCTAAAGCTGGCATCTCTGGACCATCCCAGTGCAAGCAGAAAACCGTATAAAAGTACAGTCACCCTATCTCAATGCTAGGACAGTCTCCAGCATTTCAGACTTGACGACATACAGACACTCAAATGAAGTATAGAAAAATAAAAATTCCAGCCACACATTCTCTCCCCTGTGGTTAGATATCTTCAGGATTACATTCGAAAACGCATAGAGGCCGGGCGCGGTGGCTCAAGACTGTAATCCCAGCACTTTGGGAGGCCGAGACGGGCGGATCACGAGGTACACATTCTCTCCTCTGTGGGTTAGATATCTCAGGATTACATTCAAACGCATAGAGGCCGGGCGCGTAGGCTCAAGCACTGTAATCCCAGCATTCTTTGGGAGGCCAGACGGGCGACACGCAGGCCAGAGATCGAAACCATCCTGGCTAATACGTGAAACCCCGTCTCTACTAAAAATACAAAAATCAGCCAGGACAGTGGCGGGCGCCTGTAGTCCAGCTACTCGGGAGGCTGAGGCATGAGAACGGCGAACCCGGGAGGCGGAGCTTGCAGTGAGCCGAGATCCGGCCACTACACTCCAGCCTGGGCGACAGAGCGAGACTCCGTCTCAAAAAAAAATAAAAAATAAAAAATAGGCCGGGCATGGTGGCTCAAGCCTGTAATCCCAGCACTTTGGGAGGCCGAGACGGGCGGATCACGAGGTCAGGAGATCGAGACCATCCTGGCTAACACGGTGAAACCCCGTCTCTACTAAAAAGTACAAAAAACTAGCCGGGCGAGGTGGCGGGCGCCTGTAGTCCCAGCTACTCCGGAGGCTGAGGCAGGAGAATGGCGTAAACCCGGGAGGCGGAGCTTGCGGTGAGCAGAGATCCGGCCACTGCACTCCAGCCTGGGTGACAGACCCAGACTCCGTCTCAAAAAAATAAATAAATAAATAAAAAATAAAAATAAAAATAAAAGAAAACGCATAGAACAATTCAATGTGCATGAAAAGCTTCACACAGGACATGCACCCAC